CAATACTCTTAGAAGTTATAGTGTTCTACACTTATTTTGCTACTGTGAGTTTTGGCTGATTATGCTGAAAGTATAAACATCAAAGTAATCAGTGGATGGGCTTTGTTTGTTTATGGTAAGACTAGCAGATGGCAAGACAGATGTCATGGCAGCATAATTTTGGCTTCTCTCTTTATATTTTATCAGGGTTTGGAGTACATATTACCTTTTGGCAATGGCTTTCATAGGTGTTCATTTTCAACAGGGCAGCAATAAAAAAGGGCAATATGAATGAAATGACTACAAAGATGCTAAGATGCAGATTTTTATTTCAGTTTGCCCTAAACCCTTTTATTATCTGTATTAGATGAAAAGAGGGGAGAAGCCAAACCGTTTGCATGTCTTAAGCTAAATGAAACAAGTATCAATAAATATTCAGTGTGATCATGTGATCACTGTAATATACCAACGAGTTTATAAACAGTAGACAAAAATAGGGAATCAGGCATTTAAATTGATATGCACAGCCCAAGTACCTAAACAGCCCTTCAAATTGGATTTCAAGCGATAAAACACATGTGCAAACCAGTGTACATACTAAAGGGGTATCCTCCTAGCTTTGTAGTCTTAATACCGGTATATGTTTATTTATTTGCAAAAATAAAAGTATGTAGCATTCATTTCTGGTATATTCTATTTGAAATAAAATAAAATTTGAAAGAACATAAGTGTTTTTTAAAAATGATGCATCTTGCAGAACAGAATTAATATTTGAATGAATTTATTTCCAGAGATAAATTATTAGTGCCTATTACCACATTATTTAAACTAATGAACACTCCAAGAACCCACCATTTTTACTTAAACACAAGTGTGCACATGCACATGCACGCGGGCGGACATTCATTCATTTAGAATTAGACTGTAAAATCTCAGATACTGCCATCTAGTGATCAACCATATTTTTTCATTCCAGAATTGGCAGCTCTAATAATTACAAAGTCAGAACCCGCACATGGCTAGAAATGTTTGATGGACAAGACTTCTGACACTAAACCTCAGACAACTTTGCCCAGTTATTAATAAGCTGAACTGATTATATCCAATCAGGAGGAAGACTGTAATTATCAAGAATTAGCGAAAGGAAACATACTAGTATTCCATATAGGCAACATACAAATTCCATATAGACAAGTTTGTAGAAATAAGTTAAAAACAAAACTGCCAATAATGGATTGCCTGCATGTAAAAGGATGCTGGCAGCTACCTAAACTACTATTTCAGTTCTGGTCATGGCATCTTGAAAAGAATACTGTGGAGCAATGTGCAAAAGGAATCAAACAGCTGAAACAGCCCACCTAAAAGGGGAAAAATACATTTGAATATAATCTTTAATATAGAAAAAAGTGAATAAAGAGAATGGGTGGATTTGTTTCGAAAAGTGCAAGGTATAGAAGTAGTGAAGAAGAAATCATTTTGATCACATAAACCTAGAATCCAGTCCCATCCGGTAAAACTGAATGAATAGAGATTCTGGAAAAAGGCAACATCTTCTCAAAAGAAATTGTAATAGCTATCCGGTTGAACTCTTGTAGAATGTAAGGAATGTAAGAAATCCATATATGTTACTATCATCTAGCAGTCATTATGCACATATTCTCTGTAATAACTAAGAAAGAATTGATATGGGAATTAATTATTATGTAAACTGGCTATGGCAGGAATAAATTGCAAACCAGAGAACTTGTTGCTCTGGTCCAGAACACCTCTTATTACTGCTTAATGCTGTTCATGTACATTGTCCAACTTGGGTGCCCTATCAGATACATTCCAAAATCTTCGACAGGCAATTTTAGATGGCTATTCAGTGACAGATCTGGGTGCATCATGACGCATATGGATATCAATATTGTGTGAAAATTCTTCTCTGCATTAGCAAATTCATTAGCAAACCCATTTCTCCATTTTCCATAATCCTTGAAATTACTATTATTTACTTTCAGGATAAAGCTTCTGAAAACTTACAATGATAATTCCTTCTGCCTTTTCTACCCCAGCCCTTAAGGAACAATTGCTCTCTTGTGTACTTTAATAAAGCCATTTCCTCCCTTTATAACTGTTGCATTACTAATGCAGAAATGATGGTAAAAACTTTTATTCCCTGCCCTACATGCTGCAAGCTGCCTAATGAGCAAGATATTATTAAACATTTTTTCCTGTTGTTTGGAGCATAACTTTCTGCTCCATTGCTGTTGGCTTTCCATTCCCTTTGGAATTGAGACTAAGAGTGACAATAGGCCTAAACTATATATAATCTGATCTGAATGAAGTATAAAAGCTGGTCCACCTATATCTGTGATGGTGAACCCATGGCACATATGCCACAGGTGGCATGCAGAGCCCTCTCTGCAGGCATGGCAGCCATTGCCCAGCCCAGCTCCACTGCGCATGTGGATACACCCAGCTGGCCTTTGGGTCTCTGCCATGTATTCATGGGGGGCAGTGCTTCCCTGATCTCTGCAGGTTTCCCCCACAGTGTGCCCTAGCTTTTTCCTTCATTTCTGCCAGCCGTGCCTTCCCTGATCTCCGCAGGGTCCCCCTCCGCAGGTGCCTCTCCGTAGCAGAAATGGAGGAGAAAGCTAGGGTGCACTGGGGGGAAGAAACTGCGGACATCAGGGAAGGCATGTGTGGTAGAAATGCAGGAGAAATCTAGGGCATGCTGGGGGGAGAAACTGCAGAGATTGGGGAAGCCAAAATGGGGTGCGGGGCTGCTGCACAAGGTCCCCGGGGCCTCATTTTGGGCCTGGAAAGCCTCTTGCACCAATCTGGAAACCAAAATGGGGGCCAGGGATGGGGCACATGCAAATGCGCTTGCATTACATTTTGGGGATTTAGACACTCGGCTCCAAAAAGATTAATCATCACTGACCTATATTGTTTAGGGGCGGACCAAAACCCAAATCCAAAGCCATTTCAAGACATTATAATAAACTACAATATTATTACTGATGCAGTGAAAACATGTGGCAGAGCATAAACTGATGCCTTGGCCAAAAGAGGGGAAAATCCACACAAAAACAAAACAAGAAAAAGCAAATATATCACCACCATTTGATTGACCATTATACATAATTCTTTAACAAAAAAGTAGGAGTATCATATTGTCCAGATCTGAAAGACTGTATAACATGATTTATAACCTGGTTTTCGATAAAACCAGGTTATACCCATGCCAAATCATGCTGTGACATCCCCATATCTCTGGATATACTTTGTTGCCATTGATGTCCAGAATTTTTTAAGAAATAAAAATGGTGTTGTCCATAATAAAATTTGCCTGTTCCGAAGACTATATAAAGCCTGTTCACCAAGCTACCAGGAATAGATAATACCAAGTTAGCAGGAATAGCCAACATGCTGGAAGATAGGCTTAAGATACAGAAGGATCTTGACAGACTTGAACATTGTGCACTATCTAACAAAATGAAATTTAATGGTGAAAAAAGTAAAGTTGTTCATTTAGACAATAAAAAACAAAATGCACACATACATTTTATGTGGTACCTTGCTCAATAGTGGTGATTGTGAGAAGGATCTTGGAGTCCTAGTAGACAATCACTTCAATATGAGCCAGCAGTGTGCAGCAGCTGCCCAAAAAGCCAACACTGTTCTAGGTTGCATAAACAGAGGGATAGAATCAAGATCACATGAAGTATTTATACCATTTTATAATACCTTGGTAAGGCCACACTTGGAGTACTGCATCCAATTTTGGTTGCCACAATGTAAAAAATATGTTGAGACTTTAGGAAAGAGTGCAGAGAAGAGCAATAAAGATGATTAGGGGACTGGAGGCTAAAACATATGAAAAACAGTTTCAGGGACTGGGTATGTCTGGTTTAATGAAAAGGACCAGGGGTGACATGATAGCAGAGTTCCAATATCTCAGGGGTTGCCCCAAAGAAGAGAAAATCAAGTTATTCTCCAAAGCACTTGAGAGTAGGACAAGAAGCAATGGGTGGAAACTAATCAAGGAGAAATTTCCTGACAGTTAGAACAATTAATCAGTGGAACAAGTTGCCTCGGGAAGTTGTAAATGCTCCAACACTGGAAGTTTTAAAGAAGAGATTAGATAACCATTTGTCTGAAGTGGTATAGGGTTTCCTGCCTAAGCAGGGGGTTGGACTAGAAGACCTCCAAGGTCCCTTCCAACTCTGTTATTCTATTCTGTTATTTGGGGGGAGGGAATGGTTATCCTTGTTAACCAGTGTTTGGAGTTTAGTAAGTCAAATGATATTTTTAAATATATGTTTTTGGGGAGGCTAATACATGAAGATAAAGGGCCATATTATACATACTGAATGTGCAGGCCTGGAATTCTCCCTCAACTCCTCTCTTCTTTTATTTGTTTTAAATTGTGTTGGGATGTTTATATTAGGAAATGGTAAGTAATTGATTAGTAGATGAATGCAACATTTGAAACAGATACAATATTCAACAATCTATTCTTAGGTGATAAACTGTATTTTGTTTATAAATGTATGAATTGCTGTGGAATCATATATAAACAACAGTATATAATACTGTTAAGTAGACATTTGAAGTGAAAATGTAAGCATATCTTTCATTTGATAATTGTTATATTACAGCTGTTGTTATTTTCTGTGAAGTTATTGGTGTTAACAATTATTCTTTAGATTCTGAGCAGAGTTTAATGAATAGAAACAGCAATCCATCAGATTAATCAAAGCTTGCCATTTTATAATACAGACTGCCCAGTTCTTGTCACATCTCCTGTTTACAGTATTTAGGAATGCAGTTGGAAACAGAGATTGATAATGCCTTTGTGTTTGTCTATAGTTGGTAGGGTATGTTTACCTTGGTGCAGAACAAGATTTGTAAACCTGGCTTAATATATCAGGATGCAACTCTTGGCATCCCCCCCTCCCCCCAATGCATTTCACTTTGCAGAAATCCAAGATGGTAAATTTCTTATCATTTTCCTGCTTCTCCACTTTCAGAGGCAACTGTTCTAAGCTATGATGGAAGCATGTTTATGAAAATTCAACTCCCTATGGTGATGCACACAGAAGCAGAAGATGTGTCCTTACGGTTCAGGTCTCAGAGAGCATATGGCATTCTGATGGCCACAACTTCAAGAGAATCTGCTGACACATTGCGTTTAGAGCTGGATGCAGGACGAGTTAAGCTAACAGTCAACCTAGGTAACATTCTCCCCGCCACTCCCATCCTAAAATTTACATTTCAAACATCCTTTTTTATCTTTGCCTGCTAGCATCAATTCAACAGCCTGTTTGACACTGAAAATAACCTGTCTTTTATATATGAAATTTGTACATGTGTGTGTGAGTGTGTGGGTGTATTTGTAATATTATTCCATTATTTATTTATTTGGGTTTTATATATATTTTTTTATTTTTGTACATTCTATTTTTCAACCCACTACAATTAATTTTGATCTGCAGCCTGTTCTAAAAAGAGAAGACCAGCACTTCAGTGGTGTTAATGAGGTATTCCTTTTGGGGAAAAATATATATACCAAAAATGATTTATTCTGACAGATAATCTCCATATTGCTAGAAATTCAGCATCGACTTCTGTTCCTGAAAAAGATGTATTCCTGGCTTTGTGTTGCATTTGGCAATCTTTCACCATTTATACAATCAGTGAAGAAGCGAATGCTCTTTGGGAATACATGTTATTGTTAGTATTATGGATGAGGATAGTCTGAGTATAACAGACTTTTGAACAGATGGTCCAAAATAACAATAATAATAATAATAAATAAAATCCCTGGCTTTTCTATGTGGCCTTCAGTCAGAAATCACACCCTATGTAGGTTATGTGCGAAAACAAGGTTTATTCTCAAAATGTTCACAAATATGTCAGAGCCATCCTGATTATAGTTTACTGTTTCTGGCAATTTATAATACATTGCAGTTTATGTAAAATGTACGCACAAGTATAGAAATAAGGTATCTTGTAAACCTAAGCCACAATTACAAGTGATATGTTTGTTTGCTATGGTCTTCTCTCTCTGTAGCAGTCTGTCATTCTATGTTATCAAAATCATCCTTCCTCCCTGCTTTCTGTTGTTCCATAAAAATGCTCCCACAAACTTCACATTAGTTTTTTCTGTGTCACAAATAAGACAACCCTTCAATGCCCAAAGTCTGCGGCCCTCAGCAAACAGCCATGAGAACACGAACCACATAAACTCTTCTGCAGAATCAAGATCATGCTTTCTGGGGTATTTTTAAACAATTTTGTAAACAAATTCCTTTCTTCATTCACATAGCTCCTATATAGATTTTCTTGAAGAGCTTGCTTTTTTGAGAATATTTTCCAGACCATTTATGCGGCATATTGAAAAGCTAACCTGAGGTGATTTCACTTTTAATTCAAAAGAAAAAAAAACCAACCTAATAGGACAGTTGACATATTCAAATCCCATTTCTAAGGAACCTTGAATAGTTGGATTTTGATGGTATTAAGGAGGTTTTGCAGTGGGGATTTTTACCTAGAGCCCTCTTGTGGCATTTGTAAGTTACTGCAGGTAGTTAAATAGTTTTGAATTGAGAAAATGGCAGGGGTAACACAATGAAATGGGGTTTATTTCAAGAGAGCTTTCTGTAGACAGAGTCACATAGGGGATGTTCCTTGGCTGTTTGTAACCACTTTTCTGATGCGGTTGACGACACATGACAAACTCAGCTACATGGAAACAAAATCTAAGCTTTTTTTTTCTTTAAATGTCTATAAATCCTCAAAGACCTTGAAGAGGAATAATTAAAATGCTGATCATCTGAGCATAAATCATTCATCTGTAGAAAACCTAGCAGAGTCTTCATACAGAAGCAAAGGAACAAGAGCGACGGTTTTCTTTTTACAAGCCTTATTCATCCTGAGACTCAAAAGTCACTATTGAGGCTTCAGTATGGGAAAACAGACAAAAAAGAAGCCATCAATCATAGATATGATTCAGAATAATTACACTTTGGGGAAAAAATAAAGACTACATGAAGGAATCACTTTCCAGCTATTTATGAATGGTTTAAATGCAGCTACAGATATTACAGAAATTGAGAAGCAATCTAAAGTAGTATAAGTGTGACTTTTTAAATTTTGAAATATGTATCCTCCTTTGAGGCAATGCCAGTGGCCCAGAATGTGAGATTTTAGCCTTGGCGAGCACTATTCCCCATTGTGACGGAGCACTTTTTGAAATTATAATGGAGATCTTCTTGTTCTTTCATATATGGGAGAGAATGTTGCAGCCAGCTTAAATCCACTGACTGGAACAATTGCCACAAACCATTTTTGTCACTTAGATTTGTCACCATGTAGCTTTGTTTGAAATTGGCCATTTTTTTTTGTTACCCTATTATCACTTCTTCTACTTCTAAAGTCTTATCACCATATAACTGCATACTCTGGCAATACGGAAAGAATCAAAACATATAGTGGCCATGTTTGCATGTGTCTGTCCCCGGAAGGGTGGAATGTGATTTTACTGGATGTCTGCAGCTAATACTTTGAAGGATAAATTTTCATTTCTCATCTATTCTTCCCCATCTAGACTGTATCAGGATTAACTGTAATTCCAGTAAGTGCCTATTCAAAATTTTTAAATTTATTATTCCTCCATTATGAAGTATTTGAAAACTTTAGATTATATAACAAGTCACATATCATTTTTGCATAGTAGAATGACTTCTGTGGGATGGGGAGGTACCTTGGGGAAAATGTCATTGATACAAAAAGAAACCATAACATAAACTCTGTCATGGTCCCTTCACACCCCCAGATAATGCTTTAGAAAAATTTCAAGAATGTTGGCAGGGATTTTTGGAGTTTCAAATCAATTTTGAAAGGAAAAATATTTTATTATTAATATCATGATGTGGTGACCGTGGTGGCACAGTGGTTATAATGCAGTACTGCAGGCTACTTCTGCCGACTGCCGGCTTTGGCAGTTCAATTCTCACCAGCTATTTGACTTCCTATTGCAACATACTTAAAATCAATTGCACACTCACTTCTAGATAAGCATTCAACAATTATTCTCCCAAATTAAGAGCTTTCTCTGATTGCTTGAATATAATGAAAACTTCAATGAATATATATGAATAACAATATTAAAGGTTATATTTATGTATTGGTTTCTTTTTGATCCTACGGTATATTGTTTTTATTATATGTCTTGCATCATTTTTACTGGGTAAACTGATAATAAGTTTTTAATCTTTCTGATATTATTTGGATTAAGATTCTATGTTCTGAAAGAGGATTGTGGACTGTGATTTTATTTTGAGTCTGTGGATCTCCCAAACATTCTATAGTAAGTACAATAGATTTTATTTTTCCTTTTGGGGAAGGATGTTAAATGTTGCAGCTTTTACATAGTCAGTGTATATTAATATACAAATAAATGACCAAGGACATGACAAACTTAAACCTAATTATATCAATTTCAATGGAAGAATTTTGAAAGTGATTTTACCAATTCCACTCATAACATTGAAAGATTCTAACCTTAACTAGGTTATGCTTTTCATCAAATATTATAACACAATTGCATCAAACATATTGTAACACAATTCAGTGGAACTTTGTAGATGTAAGGAGAGGGGAAAAAGAGTGCTTATTGAATTATTGCCAATGGTACTCTGGATTTTTGCTTTGGAACATTCAAAATCTAAATTTTCTTATTCAAAAGAAAAATCAAATATTTGCACAATTCTACTCCAGTTGCCTTCTTCTAATTGGTAAACTGTGGATTATAGTTTTTTATGATACTTCCACAAGCAAACAAATAAACAAATGACTAACTGGAATACTAGCAAGATAAAGTTCATCGTTCCAAATACTTTTTGACAGAAGTTCTTTGATATATTTGCTAATATCAATCAGTATAATTCTAATTGCACTGTGTTAGTAATATTTTAAGGGAAAATACATTTTGAAGATATGAATACTAATATTTAAAATTAAATTCTGGAATTAAAATTAAAATGCAATTTCAAAGTAGTTGTTTCTTTGTTTTTATCCCAGAACTGTATAAGCATGTCAGGTTAATCTCTTTCTTAACAGCTTTTAAAAGCATATTAAAAACTGAGATTTTTCTGGATACTATTCAAATACTTCTCACTTACGCCATCATTAACCTTTTTTTAATTTTTAATGTTATAGGTTTGTGGTTCTTAATTTTTAAAATGTACTCTAATTATCTGTTTTATTTGTAATTAAATTGTATTGTGGATTTTTTAAAAAAAAAATCATATGTTGCCCATCACTTGTGAGAATCATAAGAATGCAGTGGGATAAAAATGTAATTAATAAATAAATACATTATTTAAGAAGGAACATAATGTTAATCTTAAGGATAAAAGAAAGTATA